ATCAGAAGAGGAAACAGCTATACAAGGTTAAAGCTTGTGCTTTATAGAATATACTCATTTTTCCTACTGTCATGGATCATAAAAGAAAAGAAAAGAAAAGGAAAAGACATAACAAGAAGGCAAAAACAATGCAATAAATCATTTAAAAAATTACAGACTGACTATCAACAAACTATTGAAAACATTACATATAATTTTAAAAGTATTATTCGTATTCCACTCACAGTATAAAACTAATATTTTTACTTGAATATACATCACCAGTAAAAGATAAGTGAAGACCAATAAATAAGTTGTCTACACAAACAAAAAAGAGAGAGAGAGAGAGAGAGAGAGAGAGAGAGAGAGAGAGAGAGAGGAGAGAGAGAGAGAGAGAGAGAGAGAGAGAGAGAGAGAGAGAGAGAGAGAGAGAGAGAGAGAGGAGAGAGAGAAGAGAGAGAAAGAGAGAGAGAAAGAGAGAGAGAGAGAGAGAGAGAGAGAGAAAGAGAGAGAGAGAGAGAGAGAGAGAAAGAGAGAGAGAGAGAGAGAGAGAGAGAGAGAGAGAGAGAAGAGAGAGAGAGAGAGAGAGAGAAAGAGAGAGAGAGGAGAGAGAGAGAGAGAGAGAGAGAGAGAGAAAGAGAGAGAGAGAGAGAGAGAGAGAGAGAAGAGAGAGAGAGAGAGAGAGAGAGAGAGAGAGAGAGAGAGAGAGAGAGAGAGAGAGAGAGAGAGAGAGAGAGAGAGAGAGAGAGAGAGAGAGAAAGAGAAGAGAGAGAAAGAGAAAGAGAAAGAGAAAGAGAGAGAAAGAGAAAAGAGGAAAAGAGAAAGAGAAAGAAAAGAGAAAGAGAAAGAGAAGAGAGAGAGAGAAAGAGAGAGAGAGAGAGAAGAAAGAGAGAGAGAGAGAAGAAGAGAGAGAGAGAAAGAGAGAGAGAGAAAAAGAGAGAGAGAGAAAAAGAGAGAGAGAAAAAGAGAGAAAGAAAAGTGGAGAGAAAGAAAAAGTGGAGAGAAAGAAAGAAAATGAGAGAGAGAAAGAAAAAGAGAGAGAAAGAAAAAGAGAGAGAGAGAAAGAGAGAGTGAGATACAGAGAGACAAACACAAAGACTCATTGTCACAGACAGATAGACAGACACACACACACTCACATGGTCACACACACACACACACACACACACACACACTCTACATCAGTTTGCCAAGATAATACAAACAACTCACCAGTGCCAAAACTGCGTAGATAACATTCGGAACCACAGAATGGTGATCCTTAAGACGATCAACGAAGAAAGCTGTGAGGAAGGTGAGCTCATCCGCATTAAGCTTGTTCTGTGGCAATGAATGCAGGATGTCAGCCAAGAAACGTGTTCCTACAGCCCTTTCTGCGACATTAGTGTGGGTCAGACTGGATCCAAGACCTTCCACAACCTCTTGTAAGGTGAGGTCTCCATTTGATACACCTGGAAAAAATGGATTAATTTTAGTATCATTTTTCATCCTACTCATTTTGTTTTTGTGGGGCTGTCCCACAAAGGCAGAAGGTTACTTTTTATAAATCACCATGGAATAAGATTTGTTTTACAGAATTTTTTATGATGCGTGGACCTGGGTGACCTGACCATTTCATTAAAAATTTGGCTGTGGGTCAGGTAACTTAGATTTGCAGTCCTCAAAAAAATTTGACTAAGGGCCAGGGTGACGGATTTATATCGTAATGATAATTTCATCTGAAGGCTGGGATGGTGGTAATGAATCGCCAAGAGTGCTCTCGGAGGGTGATCTGACAGTGGGAATTAGGAAGGGGCTCTTCCATTATTTCTTTATTTCTACTAGTAAAGGAATGTGCAATAGACCCTCCTTGAGCCATGACTGGAAGAGGACAGAATTCAGAAAGAAGAGAATATCCATGCTCAGGATTTTATTCCTGTCCACTGTGACCAGTGACACAAGGGGTATTATCATCATTATTATTATTACTTTTATTAATTTTCGACTCGGACGGTGCATGGGAACGCACTGGAGAGTGCGTGCCGTGGCGGAGCTGCTTTCCCTCTTTCGCGCATATGTGTTTGTTTATGTATATCTGAGAAAATATAAGTTTGCAAAAGTCTACGTAAACCCTTGCAAATATTCCTTGACCTGCTCAGCTTCCAGGCTGCACGGCCGCCCATTGCTCAAAGGGATCAGCTGTCAATTAAACTGTGCATCATATGATGCCTTCCGCGGCACATCACATTTAAATATACTAAATGTGTAATATTACTGTTGTGATATCAGTAAGATTTACTGCCATATTTATCATATCTTATTATTACAATAGAGTATCAAAATCTTAGTGTATATATAACTGTGAACTGGCTATGTTCAAGAAATACATATTTTGCTATGGTGTACTCTGACTGGCTGGTAAGTTTGAGCATGCACAACACCAGGGTCGCTGTGATTGGCTGTAATATGGAAGCAGGAGCATCTGGATCAGTGTGAATCCTGGAATCATGGAGACAATAGCGTTACTGAAAACTGGTGATGAATTTTTGGCCTTTCTTGAGCTTGAAGCTGCCATAAAGTGGTTAGACTTGGAGTACAATATCAATTTTTAGGTTAGGTTTGGTTTGGTTTGGCTTATAGTAACTGACTAGTATCTGCAAAATGGCAAAATAATCAGTCTAACAGCAATGCCATGCACAGTAACTGCATGTAGTGCCCCCTGTATGTGACATCACCGCCACTGGCTGATCAGAGCACTATATAACAGAATATGTGTTTCCTGAATGTTGCAGGTTCATGGCACTATTTCCACTGCCTATCAAAATAGGGTCTATAATGATTTACTTGTTAATTCTATTATCAGCATTAAATTTCAGATGTGGCACCAGCGCAAATCAGTGACAAATTTGCAAAGACAGTCTCAGACCTTACGTGCCTACTGCCCCAGGTCCCATACTGGAAATGGTAATTTCTGTCTGCCAGAGGTGTACGCCAAGCCAGTAATACTGAATACACATATGTCCATACACGCCAGCAATGTTAATGACAGGAAATGTACGCTGGTGTACAAAATTTTGAAAGAGCTATCCGCTACAGATTCTTGGTAAAAGGGGCTTTGATTCCAGACTGGACCAGGCCCTTGTACTGTAATTGCAAGGTGGCCTACTGAAAATATGACTGCTTTTAGCACCAGCACTTGGAAGCAATAACTACAGGTCACCTTCTTCTCTCCTATCCCTTTCTTTGTTTTTGTTTATCAATATTTCCTAAAACTTCATTTCATTTAAAAATTCTCAAAGGCCCATTGCATATTTTGGCTATACGCACTCCAGTTCTTGATAACTTCTAAAATATATATTTTTTTATGATCAGATATAATGGCACATATAAACAGCTACCAATTCCTGTAATTGTCATTCACTAATTTGTCGATGAAAATATATCAACATTGAAACCGTGGAATTGCACGGTCCTCTGAAAATTGAAGTTAATAAAACCACTTAATTGTAGTGTGTATCACACTCATACTTCACTGTACTATTATCTATATTCAAATAATTCACCTGGAAGGACTTTTGCCAGCAAAGTCTCCGCATCTTGGCCGGGGTTGGGCAAATTTCGAATGTTTTCTAATATTTCTGCCTTAGTCGCGGCCATGGTGGGGCACGTGACTATTTGTTTTGTTTTTTGTTGTTGTTTCATAATTCTTTAACCAAAGTTATTAAATATTATTTGATGTGGGTATTTGCCCTATTTTTCTGTAAGACAAATGAGATCAAAGTAGCGTTGTTATGTTTGCTTACTTTGTTACAATTTTTATTTAACTCAGTAGTACTTTGTTGCATAGATAAATCTACGGGAAATCTCCTCCAACTAACATTAAAGATTTTAGCTGTGGTAAAGGAACATTTGAACATTTGTGATGCCTCTCGAAAGGTTTTTATTAATTTACTTTCCCCTTTCTTTCTTGACTGCGATGCGCGTAAATACATGTACATACGTACACACACACACACGCACACACACACACACACACACACACACACACACACACACACACACACACACACACACACACACACACACACACACACACACACACACACACACACACACACACACACACACACACACACACACACACACACACACACACACACACACACACACACACACACACACACACACACACACACACACACACACACACACACACACATATATATATATATATATATATATATATATATATATATATATATATATATTATATATATATGTATATATATACACATTTACATACGTATATGTATATTTATATACAATAAACAGATAATTAGTACATATGAAAAGATTTACTTGTCCATGTATTGTTTATTTCTGCAGTCATCTCGTTCACCAAAGATATGAATCTATACAAAAATAAGCAGAAAATACGGTAATGAAAAATATAAAAGTTGCCGTCTTTGGTAGTTTGCGATTGAAAACAATAATTCTTGACGCGACAAGAATATCGGGTATTTAATTGTTTATGATCTACGTCTAAAACCGAGGCCTTTTATTTTGTAATTATTATGACAGTATATGTATTTCATTTCAATCATTAAATAAATGTGAAGTGATCTTGAAGATTTATAATGTGTAGAATTCGATAAATTCCAATAAACATTCCAGCAGTGATATGGTAAAAAGTTTCGACGCAGAATGAGGCTTGCAAGTCATTATGAGAACGAAATGATGTTATTCAGCAGTAAAGAGAAAAATTGATAAAAATCTCCATTTCGAATTGTCTGTACGGCAAAATTCCCAGAAAAATATTCCAGCTGTCATGTGCGTTTATAAAGCAATCGCAAACATGTTCCAGCATTTTTACGGGAATTCTTTCTCTCAGATTCAGAAATCCTCCGACCGTGTTCACAGAGGAGTACTAAGAAATACCATTGGATATACACAATGCAATCAAAAGGCTTCAATCAACACAAAATAGTCTCTTGACAACAACAGGAAAAGAATGCCCTTTTTGTAAAGACTTTATCGCTACC